TTGAACTGCATACAACATTTTAACGGCAGTGCATAATTCAAAGGATTTCACGAAGTACCCTACTGACGTCCCAAGTAGGTCACCTATATACCCCATCAACGTCCTGATGGGTCTACTTAATCCCTATCGGCATCCCAGATAGGTCCATTTAATCCCTACAGGTCCACTTATACCTCACCGGCGTACTGGATGAGTCCACTTAATCCCTACCGGCGTACCAGAGATAGGTCCACTTATACCTCACCGGCGAACCGGATGAGTCCACTTGCATACTTAAAGTGTTTCTAAATCTATTTAAACATTCAAAAGCAGCAATATCATGTACTCAACATATCACTGAAATTATTAATATGAATTTCACTAAAACCATTAATAACAGTGACTTTCAATAACATTTCAAAAATAATCAGTCAAATATTTTGGGCTCAAATTCAGAAAGGTAGCAGTTCATAAAGACATTCTAGCATAATTTCCAATCTAGTATGCATAGAAAAACTCTTATAGAAATCCAAGAATACGGAATTATCACAATTTATGGGATGTCAATTCGCAAATAAACGTTTCACAGACTATACTATAATCAAATGCAAAAATATCAGTTTTCAAATAATAAGGCAGTCATTTGCACATAAAACTTATAAAATAAAGATCCTGGACGGAAATATCACTATTTATTAAAACAGACTATTTTTCAAGAAGATGATGTGACTTACAGTTGCTCATCAGATTTGATTCATCGGAACCATATATAGGTCTGGACCTTCAAAATGGACTAAGAGATTCAAGGTTTAGAGTCCTTAAGCTTTACTTTGTACGATTATTGCTCTCGCCTTTTTATTTTCTTTGGCAGAACTAACCCTTCTCGGATGGTCAAGCCCCTTGAAATTGCCGACTACATGGCAGAAGTAAAAATTATATAAGCGAAGGAAGACCTCACTACTAGGCTGTTAAAAAAGGATGGTCGGAGAAAGACTACTCTAAGAGAAACATCAAAGCGTGCTTTCTTGTTACCCTCAGAACTCATACGTATATAAGGGATATAAGGGAGAACTTTTTTTTTTATAACGCCGCATCAAAAGAGGTGTCAATAGAGAAATGGCACGGGGCACATATTAAGGCACCTAAAAGGTTAAACTTATCCTTTTGAAAAGTTAAGAAAGGAAAAGATGGTGGATCTAAGGTCCACCCAAGTAGAAATTGTTTGTTCGCATATTTAATAATATTTTGGCTTTTGAAGTTTTTTAAGAAAGGCTAAAAGAATGGTCTCTATAGTGTATTATTATCACAAAGAACTTTTACTCAAAATTATTTCTGGATATATATATTTAATATATTATTATTATTATTATTATTATTATTATTATTATTATTGATATTATTATTATTATTGATATTATTATTATTATTGATTGATATTACTATTATTTTTCTTTTTTTATTTTTTTTTTACGGATTATTACACTACTCTTACGAAGTATATACTCAATATACTACAGAGACACTTGCTACCCTTATCATATAATGGAGTAACTTTTGTCTAGGGGTATTTTAAGTAATTAATGAAAGATAAAGTAAAGTTTTTTAATAGAAATAAAACTAGAATCCAGTTTCTATGTGGCCAAGCCCACATATATAGAAATGCAAACCTATTAATAAATCTACTTTTGAGATGGAATTTTGCAATTAATTTTTAAGGACTTTTAATCTCTAACATGGAAATCATGAATATGAAAAATAAGTAAATTTTAAAAACTAGAAATAATAATTTTAGTAAGAAAACATTTGGACCGTTAGTTTCCATTGTTTTTAAATGGAACACCTACTTACATCTATCTTTAACATGGATGCTTTACACTTTTTGGACTGCATATGTAGTCATGCAATCCAACCCGTATAAAACAATTTTTCATAAAGCTATACTAAAAACTGACATCATCGATACGTGACATCATCTATGTGGGGTATTAATTATTTTCTAACCACTAATAGAAAGCCACTGGTTTCTTATAAAAATATGAGCAAACTACGTACGGATATTATTGAGGTGATCGATTACCAAATGCACCCACCACCCCCTCTTCCACGACAATTTTTTTCCCTCCGTTGCCTCCTGTCCGACAATGCAAACACCGAACATGAGGTTTTTATTTTCGTAGGGTGAGTTTGCTATCCAGTGTTTGAAATACCGCACAACTCTCTCTTTCTCCTCCCCCTTCATTGTCTCTCTCTAACACCGCCAGATTCTTAGAGAAAGCATGTTCTTTAAGCTTCTCGATTCAATTAAGGGAAGTTGATTCAATGTCGGAATGGAGCTTTCTCTTCTATCCAATGAACCTAAAGTTTCTTTGGTTGTGGTGTCTAGGGTTTGAAGCTTCGAGTCTAAGGTTTGGGATTTCAGGTTCAGGTCATGTTTCAGAGAGGAGAAATGATTGGCCACCTTCCTCCATAAATCAGTGCAACTCGCGATGAGGCTTTTCTCATTCTCTAAAGTTTCAAATACCTTATGCAAATTCTGAGTTGCCTCCATTAAAGTGGTAGCCATGATTCAAGCTCAGTTTTCACATAGAGAAGAAGAAAAACTCTTAAAATATAAGAAAATAGAGAGTTCATATTTTGCAGAACAAAAACGTCACCACATAGGATTCATTGAGGTTGAGAAACCCGTATTGAGGGGTATCAATTAGATCAAGCCATAGCCAACAGCACGAGCAAAGACCATGAGAGGTATGAATGTGGAGATCTGAGAGGTCTTTGAAAGATTGCATTCAACCATTAAAATAAAAAAAAATATCACTATATCTTCTATTTTTAAGTTTTATTTCTTGATAAACTCAATATTTTAAAAAATATCTTCTAACCTAAAGTCATTTTAAACCTATCTTTTAGCCTAAATAAATGTAAGAAATGCATGCTATTTTTAAACTCAATCTTTCTCTCTCTTCACTTATATACCCTAAACTTTTCTCTTTCTCTCTCTTCTTACGTTTCTCTCACTCTCTTTACTTATATACCCCAAACTTCTCTCTTTCTATATCTTTCTCTCTCTTTTTCCTGTTTCTCCAAATACCTCTCTCTCCTCCCAATAACCTATCACCTCCATGAATCTCTTATCTTTCTTCAGAAGTTTGGGAGGATGGCTTTTAGAAAAGACATGTCTTTTTAGATTTGTTTGGTCTAAAAAAACATGTTTAAATTAGCTTAGGGGGTTAGAATAAATAAAATCTACATATTTTATGGCTTAAGATATCTTTTAAAACCTTGAGTCTATTGTGAAAAGAAACTTAAAAATAAGAAGTATGGAGATATTTTCTCTTAAAATAATTCCAATTTAAACACCACCAACCCAATTAATGAAATGGGGCATCAGTTTCCCTCTAGGAAAAGGTTTATATGCTTCCCCTACAGCATAGAAGTTCTATCCTCCCCCTACCATCCAGCTATCCAATTTTGATCAAGAGAGCCACTCACCATTTGATCTTAAATCCAATGTCTCAAAGTATTTTATTTTTAGTTTTTTTCATACAAATTCTATGAATATGAAATCTGGTACGTATCATCTTTTCATTGGGGCGCACCTATAAAAAATATTAAAAATAATTTTTGGATAAAATATAATGACCAAAATATCCCTTGAAACTTTCAGGGTAATTTGGTGATTATATTTTATTAAAATATTTGTTTATATTCTTCGCTAGTTCGAGTTTAATAGATGAATGGACGTCCAAAATTTGGTGTCAAAATAGTGTATCGAAAAAAAATTAAAAATAAATTAGTATAGAGATGTAACAATGTGATTGGGACCCTCCATTCAGAATGAACGGTTGGATAAGGGGGAGGATAGAACTTCTATGCTTAAGGGGAAACATAGAAAGCTTGCCCTTCTCACTTATCCAATAAAAGCCTTTTCTAATGAAAGCCCTGTTCATTACTCTCCCAAATTTGGTTTCTTAGAGGTTTTTGGAAATCGGAGAATTAGAGAGAGAGAGAGAGAGAGAGAGATGTAGAAAGAAAAACTAATAGACGACGAACGAAAAAGAAAAGAAGAGAGAGAGAACTAAATAAAGTAAGTAGTTAAGGTTTAAAAGTTTAAAACTAATAAGTTAGTTTAGTTTAGTT